AAAGATTCTTCAACATTTAAATCGAAAGAGTTTTCGACATATATATCAAAATCAACATATAGTTTACAAGATTTATTTTGACAAAGAACTTCATATAATGTACGCTGAGATGGTTTTAGAAAATGTAACAATTTTGATAATTCGTCAAAAGTAAGACTTAAAAAATAGCGTTTTTGATTATTATATTCAGCTGCGACAACAATTAAATCTTGTTCCGCATTATTTCTTATTGGCATATTAATTAGTAAACTATTAAGTTTATAAAATATTTTAACTTCTGGTATAAGTTCATGTATGTAATGTGTTCCTTGTGGCAGACTTTCAACCATAGACATTTTATTAGAAATTCTTAAACTTTATTAATATTAGTATGCTGTTATATTTTCATTCCTTTTACTATACAGTAAAATCTTATAAAAGAAAGTAAGTAGACACAATCGAGGCGCTTAATATTAAAAAAAAAATAATCAACATATATAGTAGTAATATTTGAAAACAAAGATTTTAATTAAAATAAAGCTAAAATTATATTGAAATATTTTTAAGAGTAAAGTAAAAGCAAAAAAAATACATGTTTATACAGAAAGTAGTAATATTAATCAATAATATTCAAGTATCGTTTGTTCAGATACATTGATCGATACATAGTCTATTTAAAAAAAATGCTATATATGGATCTAGTTAAAGTAGAGTCTCATACCGTTGAAATGATTTATTTTTGCATTACGGATTCGAATTTTCTTGTTCATAATACTTTCAGGCACATTATTGTTCTATATACGTGTACCAAAATATGAAAATAAATACTAATGTAAATGAGTATTTATTTGTCAAGTGTTGATTTACTTTGTCATTCCATATTGTTACGTTAACAGCACTTGTTTCATCTTTAATTTTAATTAATCTTCTTCGTATATTTGTACCAGTATTTTGTGAAGTCGTTGTAACTATGCCTCTGTCCATTATTACAATACCTTCTACATCTATACTGCATGAAACTTTTGTTTTATGAGTTTTTTAAAATGATATTAAGGTGGTTAATCATTAGATATTAATGAATGAACTTTGTGAAAGATGATCTATATGGAGTGTTGAAGTATAATGGTAAAAAAGCGACCTTTTTCTCAGATAAACTGTGGATTTGTTAGCTAGAGATGAGGAAAGACACTGGCTTTAGTCCATTACGGATCATTATAGACGCCGACTTGAAAGTATTATTACTATTACACTATTAGTGGGAAGTATGATAGACCGCAAAAAATTCAAGCCAGATGTTATCACAAACGGTAATAGAAACATGTTAAGAAGTGTTAAAGTCTGTAACAGAATTCCATCATATGTCATCACCGACCGTAACGGATATTGTTGGCATATGATGAAAGACCGCATATCAATAACGTCTGGTTATAATATATAAACTTGTTTCATATCATATCTCTGAAGAATAAATTAAAACGATCGTGGAAAAATGTGTTTCAGAAAATGTAAAATAGAGTGATCATTAACAATCAACAATAGTAACTATATCGAATTTCACGTGTTTAGTTCAGGTGGCATTGGTGTAGCAGCCTTTTTTCTTGTAAGAAATATTCAATAATACCAGTGATGATTATTTCCCTTCTAGCATTTTGTTATAGAAATTGATATTAAATGGATAGTTTTACAGTTTTTAGTAAATTATCAAATATGTTTTTTTTGGCATATATGTATTTTGAGAAAAAAAAACATAATCAAATGTAATCATTAAAAGTATAACATAAAACGTTGATTGATGATGATAGAGAAGATATGTGTGGATATAAATTATGAAACAACTTACCGACATTTGTTCCATGTAGTTTTTGAGGAATTTCAGAAAGTTGGCATTTTGTAATTTTCATTATTGGTTTAAAGCCATGATTTGTGTACGATTCAATGACAGTACTTGATGTTACTCGAATCTCATATAATGAATAAGGCGAGCGATAGTTTTCATTTGCTCTTTGAATTTTTCCATTTTCTATTGTAATTAACTGGAAGAAATTCTTTATTGTATCAAACTTGATTTTTATTAATTACTTGATGGACTATCATGTTGTTATATAAACGATCGACATCTTCGTTGAATGCTACTATTTTTATTTCACCAGTAAAGTCACAAACAATTGCATCAAATACTTTGCCGGATGTACCGAAAAATCGTATTGGAGATTTGTAAATTATTTTAGAACGTATTCGAAAACTATAATATAGTTTAAAAAACTGAATCTGGAAATAGATTTACTTTAAAAAATTTTCATTAAGAGCTTCGATTGCTTGAAACGAATTTCCTTCCGAAGAAAAATATTGAGTAATTATATCTTTCATTAGAATAGAAACTATCGATATAATAAAATATGAAGCAATAATAATTACGTTGTATTTGTGGTGTAGATGAAGTATTTGAAATATTAGATGAGACATCTGATGTATCTTCGATAGATTCTTAATAACAAAATAAATTACATTATTTCGTATATGTTATTCACTTATTATTTCTCAAGTAATTTCCTACCAAAATTATTCTGCTGTTGAGCAATTGAATCACTTGTTTCGATTATGATATTTGTTGCTTGTTCATTATTGATATCCGATGCTTGATCATTGTTATCAGCAACAATATGAATAAAGCTACTATTGTTATTTTCGACAATGTTTTCATTTAAAGCTAGTAAGATAAAAGTTTTATTTGGGTATTGAATAGAATTTTGATGAGATGTGCTTCCTGATGATATCGATGAATGAAAAATATGTTCTGTTTTATATTCGGCGAATGATCCTGTATATTTATGCCTTTTATGTGTTGTATTAAGAAATGCACGATCTTTTTTTTTTTTTATTGTATTAAAGAAAAAAGAACCTATTTAGAAAAAATTATTTACTCGGGCATATTTCTTCACTTGTCGTATGATCGTATTCATGATTCGAAGTTTCTGAATCGGATGATGATACTAATAGAACATATGTTCATTCGTAAGATGTTGATCGTTAGTTATTATTTACTTATATAATATGATTGATTTGTATTTTCAGCCATTTTTTTATTTTTATAGATTGATGAAAATGTAAGTTATTGATAGAAGTAATATCGAGTAGAGTATATGACAGAAGTTTGATTTATATTAAAGGCGCAATATCAAATATTATTGTAATGCTGTTTATTAACTAGTTTTATTCGATTAATTATCAAGTTTTTTAAAGTTTACCAAGAAACGTTTAAAAAAAAAATGCAAAATTTAAATTTCAGTTGCTCATTTTTTATGTATAGTTATGATATTTATTATTGTAAAATCATCAGACTTGAACATTAAAAGAAATCATAAATAAATAAAGAATACTTTCTTTTCTTGAAACAATTTAAAATTAAAAAAAGTTCGAATGAAATCGATTGAATCACTCTATATACTTATATTACATCGGAATCGTTCGAAATATTTGATAAAGTGGTTGATATGGAGAATGTTCGTCTCACTAAACAGATGCTTGTGTATTAGTACAAATAGAACGAAAAATATATGTAATTTCAGAAGTTTGTTTTTGCAGCTCACCTCCACTTTTGAAAAATTTACGATTTTGAGATGTCGATGATAATAAAGTATTTGTTGAAGTTATATTTGTTTGTACTTGATTCGCATTGGTAATGTTGTGACCTAAGTATAGTGGTGGATAGTTACATTAATATATGCATATATTTGCATATAAAATAGTTGAAAGACAACCTTCATTACATGTTGTACGTGATATTGGTGTACATATTTCTTCAGATGATATAGACGTGATTGAAAATGTACTTCTTATTGTATTTCGTTCAATGTTATGGTTTGATATACGATTTGTATCTTGTGAGTGACTGATTGAATCATCTGATTCTACGAAGGCAGCTGAAATAGAACGTTTGTTTCCTTTATTTAATACTGATGTTTGCTGTAAACGTTGTGTATCAGATAAACAGAGTGAACGTTGATGTTGTGTATGTTGTTGTGTGGTGGTTATATTCGGCGAGTACGAGTTATTTTGATGAGAATTTCGCACAACCGATGGTCTTTCAAAATTTAACTGTTGATCATATGGTCCACCACTTACGGCAACATAAGATGGCATTGAAAGGATTTTTAGTGCTGATTGATGAAGTCGACTACCTTTTGTTAAGGTGTAACTATTATTCAATATCATGTATTCCTCAAGAGATATGTTATGTTGTTGAAGTTTCTCGGCTAATATTTCTCGATCAACAAGATTATTCATTTTTGGAACTACTTTTATGTAACAAAATATTGGACGATTAGTACTTGTTAATACATAATAATCCGCTAATAGAAGATGTTCAGTAACTAGTTGTTGAAGTGCATTTTTAACAAGCAATCGATGAACGTGACTTATTCCTAAAATCTTGAATATAAATTTTTCAAAATAATTATGTTTACCAGGAATAGAAAAGATTGCATTTGTCATAATAATAAGGTTGCGCATCATTAAAATTTCTCGCATTAGATGTTTTTGAAGTTGATCTCCAGTCAATTTTATTTGTGGTATATTATCATTTTGATGTGTATTAAGATGCAGTAAACGTTCAGATTGTTCGTACAAAAATCCATGTAAATATATAGCTCGATCAACAATATTTTGTGTTACTGTAATAACATAAGGAACTCTTTGTCGTACAATCATTTGTACTTCATTATAGAATGCTAAAGTCAATCCATGATCTGTCTCGTCCGATAGGTTTCTATAAAAATTAGTATCCTATGTTTAAATATACAGGTTGATCTATAACATACACATTTATGCGTCTTAAAACAGTTGTTATAGTATGAATAATAGTCATTAGACCACATAATTTAATAACTTGAGGTGGTTGCTTGGCAAGATAGGATGTGAATCGTGGACTTGTACGATAGAAAGTAGCTGCTCGATGAGTAAGATCATCTGTATAAGCATTTATAGTATTATAAGCATCGTCATCAAACATGAGTTCTCTTTGTCCTAAAATCGATGCACACAATAATATTTGTGTGATTGTTGGTTTTCTAAGATCTCTTGGTTGTAATAAATCACGTGTAAATCTTGAATATGGGACAACAAGTATTAAACATCGATCTATCACTCCATCAGTAGGAAGATCATCCAAGCATTCACGAATCAATGGAGTGAATAATTTTCCAGTTGAAGCTCCACATAGAGTCAAATGAGATCGGCGTATATTTTGTCGATAACTTTTAGTTTTTTTATTATCATCTAAACCTTCCCACAAAGAGCAAAGAAGTTGCCGACCATCATTTCCACTATTAACATAAAAACCCATATTATTCAGTGTTGTATCGATTTCTTCTTGTAATACGAGTACATCAGTAGATTGCACTAACTAAGAGCAAATAGATTTTAGATTAATGTTTTTTTAGAAAAAGAAAAACCTAATATCAATAAGACATTAGATTTAGCAATTGTAGCAAAAATTAAAAATATATGACAACAGCATAAGGTTTATTGAAACAGCAACTTAGAATACAAAAAAGTTACTTGATCGTAAAGACCAGCTGTAGTAAATGTGTCGACAAGGCTATTGTATGAATCTGGATCACCAAGATTATATTGTCGTAAAAAATCTATCATAGCAGTATAAGCAGCTCGTACCGGTCGGACGAATCCTGATTTACAAGCACCTATAAATTATTTTTGTTTTGGTTTTTAATTTATACACTGAAGAAAGAAAAGAATGATCTACCACTGATTCCTAATATAAATGAATAAATGTTTAAATTTTTTCGAATCTTATTCCATTGTAATATAGTGATATTATGAGCAACATGTGCAAGTACTGTGAGTAATGTAAAAAAAATTCCTATCGGTTGTGCTGAAGTGTCACAATCGTAATTTATAAGCCATTCAATTATTTCGGGTTCGATACACTTCTCAATATCAATTTCCACATCAGCTGCATCGAGTAAGCCAGTACGTAAAAGACCGGATAATGTACGATCATCATATTTACGTAGATTTCTATTTAAAACTGTAAAACTCATTTCTGAAGATAGATATGGTAAATTATATAAAATAAATTAGTGTCGATGATGTCAGTACTAATTAGATGGTTAATGAAAGACACAAAAAGAATAAAATAATTTTGAATAAATTTCTTGTTGTTTAATGAATATCTTCAATGTAGCGTCTAATTCAAATAATAAGAATTCGACTTCTTGTTTTCTCAATAATATGGTTTACGAATAATATTATATAATATTGGTAAGTCAAAATTATGTTTAGTTGACTACTAATAAGTAATGTTCTCTTGATGTTAGCAAGTAAAATTTTTGTTCTTGATTAGTATTTTGAATCAAAAATATTATTTTAATATTGCTGAACTAATTGGTAATGCTTCCGTGAGGGATTTTGGTAACTTTATAATAGATATATTGTCAGACGGTTAACGAATTTTAAACAATCATCAAATAAAGTATTTATTTTTTTTTACTATTAGAAATATAAATTTTTAATAATAATATTAGTAATAAAATTCTCGCGCATTTATAGAAAAACGTTCTACTGAATTTCTTATTGATTTTTTTTTAATATCAATATTTTATATTTAAAATAAGCAAAAATAGATCATCATCTTTTTTTGTAAAATTTTACGTTTTGTTGTCAAATCGCTCAGACAAACGATCAATATTTCAAGAGTTTCTAATGATAATGATCGATAGTATTATTATTTTTTTTTTCTTTTTGAACAAAAATATAAAATGAAAACTAATGTTCCTATAGTAAACTAATTGTGAGCTAAAATATGGACACATTTTTTCGTCATATTTCAATATCGATTCTTTTGTCATCTGTGAAATAGACGTTCTCTCTTTCGCAACTTGAAAATGTTTTTTTTTGTTGCTAGAGTCAAATATTAGTTATAATAAGATGATAGAGTCGATTACGATTAACATATTCATTGTTTTTTAACTCATTTCAATAGGAAAAAGACGAAATTTTTGAAAAAATTAATTTTTCTCAAAAGAAAAAAAAAGTTGTATTTCTGTTTCTCAGAAGTATTGACTTCAAATTGTGTTATAAATGTGTGAAATAGGATTTTCCATAAGTATTCAAGTATTTTTTATTTACCGTAATTTAAACCGTGTCATTTTAATGAATAAAAGAACTCAAACACGGAGATTTTAGTGAAAAAATATCAAAAAATTTATGTTTACATTCCTTATTGAAGTTATTCGAATCCGTATGCTGATAGGTTACGTTCTAAGATCATGACCAGAAATTTTAGTTTATATAGTTTATATACAAACGGTCTTGAGAAAAAAGTTTTCTTTTCATTAAGAAGATGAATAAGTCAGAAAATCGAGAATAGCAGATCAAAGCAACTAAATATCCTTCAGAGAATGTAATGTTATATCAACATCTTATCTTCTTTTAAGATACAAAGATGATGTTGCATTTATTATCAATGAAGGTTTTGAAAACCTGGGAATGTCATTTTTCGATATGTTTTGGACAAAATTTAGAAGTTTTGGCTTCTATATTAGTCTATTTCATGAAAAATTTTTCTCTTAAAAATAGATACTTATATAACTATGTTACGATTTAAATAGTAGATTAACAATATTTAATCAAATTAAATACTTTCAAATCAAGATACATGCGATAGTGGAAAGTATGAAAACTAAAAAGCCTGAAAAATGTTGATTCTGTTATTATTCGAAAAGTTTCCATTTCTTTCAAGAAATAGATTTTTACAACAGAACTGTTTCTTAAAGAAGTTTCTTCTTATATTAAGAGCTTCAGATAACATCCATGCTGATAAAGATTAAAATCTATCTATTTGATGAATGACCCACAAAATGTTTCGGCTAGATATTTAAAAAAAAATGATATATAATAAAATATAAAAATTTAATACGTAAGTGCAATCGAAACAAAAAATGTAATATCAGAGTCGATTGGATATTGTTATGGTTTAACTGGAAAATATATAGAGTTTATCAATAGATTATTAAACGGGCATAACTTAAATAGAAATATGAATGAGATTATGAAAAATAGCTCTCAGTATATTGGCTACCTATCTATCTATATAATATAACTACGATAAAATTGTATTATTTACCTTTCACTACATAATATTGAAAGAAGAATCTCTTATAACTAGCGAACATATATGTTCAACGACGATAAGAAATCTTGTTTCATATAATAGTACTTTTCTACACGTCATTGTCGACATCACTATCGTCATCATTTTCTTCATGATATTTTATGTATCCATATGTAAGAGATCGAATACGTCGTTGATATTCTAATAGATCAATTTGTTTATTAATTAATAGTTCTTTTGCTTCAATTAAACGATTGTCATGATCACGATAGCGTTTACGTTGATGCTTTGTAGAGCGTTTTTGTTTTATTTCTTGAGATACTGATATCAACGTTTGTTCATCTAACTCCCTTTTTAATAGAATATATTTCCAAATGTTTGGATGTGGCGCATTTCGTCTGGTAGAGAAAAATATTTTAGTATGAATAATAAAATTTTAAATATCCATATAGTAAAAGTATTGATTTAAAAAAGAAATAAGTTCAGTTAATGCAATAACTCCCAGCAAAACTTACGCATTTATTGAACGATGATAACCTTCAAGAGCATTATTTGTTCTATGTGTAAACCCAATGGAGGAAAAATGATTCCATCGTGGTGGTGGAAATTTGCTTCCATACAAATATGTATTTGAAAAATATTGAAGCAAGGTTTCAATATCTGTTATCTTTAGAAGTAATTGTGAAGCAATTTTTTCAAATACAGTAAAAACATATTGTAAAGGTATTAATGGCAGCCCAAATAAATTTGCTAATTCTCTTTTAACATCTCTATCTTGAAATGATGAAGCAAAACCTAAAATGGTAGTATGTCAAATTATGGATCTCACATGTCAAACATTATGATCCTAATTAAATAAATATGAGCATTAGCAGTAAATTTAGATTATTTTTCACAGGTTCATTTTTATGTTATTACAATTCAGCTCTTCATACCAAAGATCAGTCCAGTTATTAAAAAAAAAACATGTTTTCGCTATTCAGTTACAATTCTTCAACATTGGACAGAACTATATGAGGTGATTACCAATTCCGTATTTTTATGATACATCATATAAAAGCAAATTGAAATATATCAAATAGAAATTCAAAATGATACTTCTACGCTTCTTTTTTTCCTCATTTTAGAAATATGACAAGACTGGTATCCTGTTCAGACTATCGAGCGATAAAGATTCCCAATTGAATACTGTTTAAAAATATTTTATTGGTCCATAAGATGGGTCTTAAGTATGAAAAATTCAATAGTCATGCCATAGAAACTAAATGTATAAAAAGTTATTATGGTTCTGTGCTGTCCCTAGGTTAACGAAATTAAGATCGGATTTTTAGTATACTGCGTCCATATTTTAGCACACCTCCTTTATAAAAACGAATTTAGCTAGATCAGAAAAAATCGAGACAGGATAAAGTTTTAAGAAATAAAAGTCTCAACCTAGTTTTTGAACTTGACGCCAAATTGATCGACAATAATGGAAATGACAATAAAGAACTGAACTATGTTTAAAAGTAGATAAGAAGCCATTGGATGCGGCTTGCTCGAAATCAAACATTATACTGATAGGCTGAAGTTTAATATTATTTCTATTTGCATAATTAAATAAACCTTGAAAAAGCAATTCATATTGCTCTTGTTTGCGACCACACATTGCAATGTGAATAAATGGATGGATTCCCCATTCAGTACGGCCGTGAATTGAATATGATTGAACAAATTTTTGTGGTGCACTTCGGAAAGTTCCATCAGCAAGCCAATAGAAGCATTTACCTTTTCAATATTAAATATATTTCAACACAATATATTGAGCAAAAAGTATCAAAAAACGCATAAGATAAACTGAAAGATTTCTATTGTTATTAGTAAATTATTTTTTTTTTGCTTTTTTTTTCTTTGTATGAGAAGTGCATTAATCTTTACACACTGCATTGATTTAGATGATTATTAATCTTTTTAGTTATTTTTTTTTTCATATGAGAAAAAAGACAAAAAACTATCACATTTTGTTTCGACTATAACTCTTTTTCATTTTCGTTTCCTTGCTTTATTATTTTTTTAGTGAAGAAAAACTTAATTACTGAAATAGATAGACGAACCACAATAGTAGAATCAGTGATTTAGGAGAAATCTTATAATTTCATTATGAAAGTTCTCTTTGGTACAAATAAGATCATCTAATTGTAAGTATATGATTGTTGTCTATTTCGATATTAAGAATAACAATAAAATAAAGAGATACACCTTCTGAAATGCGTACATCTTTAAACTGTCTTTTAATATATTATATAATGTTATTCGTTTTTCTTCTTTTTCAATAGTTGCAGAATTGTTAATCGTAATTTAAAAAGAAATAGGATTAAAAAAATTAAAATATAAAAATAATAAAAATAAGGAAAAAAATCAAATAAAAATCATAGTAATAGTAGCAGATACATACTAAGTTCAATCAATGCTTGTGGAGAACATAATGTAATAATACGATTTGGTGCTGGATTGTCAAATATTAAAAACGGATCACCATTTTCTAAAAATTTCAAATCATCAGGTATTATAATATCTTCTAATGTTTTTGGAATTGGTGGAAGAACTGATGATCTACGTCGATAAGCCGTTGATCTTATGTAGTTGAAGATTGGTACATCTTCAGCTGTTCCTTTTTTTCTTTTCTGATGTAAAAATCAGTAAACAACAAAGAGAACTAGAAATAGGTTTGAATAAAAACATACGTATTGTACTAAGTTTTGTCGATAAATTTCAGTTACTGGTGTTAATAAATCCTTTTTTGTTTCTGTACATATATTTTGTAATAGATTTCTAACTTCGGATGAATGTTGAAGTTCGTCATGTGGATGTTCTTGTGGATATCGTTTAATGATGCCATTAAGCAAAACAGTTGATGCACCACAAGATTTTTTACAACAAACCCATATCTCTGAACCGTCTTTATTTGAACATCGCTTTCTGTACTTTTGGTTTTTGTATATAAATGCTCTTGCACCTCGATTAGTGTGTGTCCATTCTATGTTCGATTCCATGTCATTATAACAAGCAGATGATATGATGAAGCTCAGAAAAAAGCTTATTACATTCATAGCAACAGCGCATTAAATTTAAATTATGAAAGCTAATATTTAGCGAACTCTATAAATTGCAGTTTATTAGCAAGAAAAAAAATAGCAGTAGTTTAGCGAACTCTACATATTACAGCTAATTCAATGCAAATAGTGGCACCCAATTTTGAGCGAACTCTATAAATTACAGACAGTTATCAGTAATACTAAAGATAGCAGTTCTATTAAAATTCTTCTCAATAAAATTTTAGTAGTTTAAAAACAAAAGTTTAAAATTTTCGATTTAATTATCAAAAACCTCTTTTTGAATTAATCTGAATAACTTTTTAAAAATTTAGAAAACGAAAAGTTGAAACTTAAAGATTATTTTCAATTGAAATAGTTTCAATTAAAAAAATTAACTTCAATTTTAAAGCTTTTAAATTTCGATTGTATGTTCGCAAATGAGAGGACACGGTTTTCACATATACTACAACTATACTCATAAAAGTTCAAGTTAAATAACTTCCTCTGTGTAGTTTGAGCATTAATTTCTAAACAACAAAACAAAAAAGAACTAAGCTGGTCAATATCTATTTTCTCTGCCATTAAAATTTCCCTTTTCTTATTCATAATCAATATCAATAACGAAACAAAACATAAAAGTTAGTCGATACTATCCCGAGTTTGGATAACAGTGTTTTGCATGTGAATGTTAATCATTAATTTTCCCTCCTACGCGACAAGCATCTCTTCATCAATAACAAAAAATATTGAAATAATCTATTTAATATCTCTTTTCGGTCTATTAAAATTAATTTTATTTTGATCAAAAACAATACCGATAATAAAATAATAAAAAATAACTATATAGTCAAAGTCTTTTTATACGTGAATTTGGATTTGTCGAATATAATTTCGACTTGGCGATCATTACTCGTCTATTATGAACATGAACCCATTAACAAGAAAATCAATAGAAGTAATCTCCTAAATACGTATTTTGACTTTCATTTAAACTCGTCTCAAATAAGTCAAAAATAATGGCTTTTGTCTGTACCTTAGCTGAATTGATTCATCAACAAGAAAAGAAAGAGATACTCTAGTCAATATGTGTTGCCACAGTGATTTACATTACTCTGATAAAAGTCCTAATTGATGACTACTGCGAGTTCATTATCAGTCTTAAATCATTATGAACGAAAGAAAAAGCAATGCTAGTCAATATCTATTTCCACTTTGATTTGATCTCTCCTAGTTTTATACCAAATCGATATCAATTAACAAAAAATTAAAATGAAACTAATAAATATTAACTTTCATATATACTCAAACTTTTCACATAAATTCAAATTCGCCATCTTTACTCACGTATTATACGTACTAATCCACCAAAACAAAAAAAAGAAAAATGAACTTGTCAATATCTATTTCTATCTCAATTCTAATTCCTTCTATCTGACCTCAAACTGATATTAACAATAAAACAAAGAAAATAATTAGTCGATATCTATCTTGACTTTCAATAACATTGTTATCACCTAAGTCTTTATAAACAATTCTTATGCTCCAGCATTAAGAGTATGACTTTATCAAAAAAAACCTATGCTAGTTAACATTTGTTCTGGAACCATCAAAGCTATATTATGTTAATCCAAACTGATATCAATAACAACAGAAAATAAAACAAATAACTGAACATACGATTTTCCTTGATTTCAAATTCTTCTAATATAAATCCGCATTGACAGTCATTAGTCATAAATTATGATAATTAACTTATAGACACAAAAAAACAAAATATATAAACCAGTCAATATCTCCGTTTTCGCTTCGATTACAATTCCCTTATTTTATGGGAAGTCAATATAAATTACAGCACAAAACGAATGAGTTACTGTATGTCTATCATCAACTCAACTAGCATTGTTGTCATATAAATCTTTTTATCAGGACTTTTGCTTCTACATTAAAACATCATCTCATCAATGATGACAGACAAAAATAAGCTAGTCAACATGTATCGCTGATTGATTAAAATTAATCTCATTTTAGCTCAAACTGATATCGATAACAAAAGAAAAAAACCAAAGTCGTAAAAATCTACTTTGCTTTATATTCAGATTACACGAATACAAGTCGAAATTAACGAATATTGCCCGTTCATTATGAGTCCTAATTCATCAGTAACAGAAGAAAAAAGAAATCAGCTTCTGAATATCTAAGGTCTGTCCAAAAAAAGAATAACCGTGAGTATTTTTGCAATAACTCAAGAGAGGAATGAGCTAGAGAGCTACAATTTTCATCATTATGTAGGTCCGTGAGTACTCTATATATTCATCAAGACATGATGGAAATCCATGTGGATTCAGTGTCTCATCATCATCAATCTTTCAAAGAGTCCAGTGCAGTTTTTTAATGTTATATAGAGACCTATA